GCAACAATGATTATATTGGGGTAAAACATTGCGTGAATAATACGTTTAAAGTATGCCACCTTGTGACCAAAAATTGTCTAAATCGAACCAAAACTGTTCAAGCCCCTAAGTACTAAATATGTGGACCCCAGTGCCTATAGTTGGCCTTCTACCGAAAATATCAGTCAATCCACAAAGAAATCTCAAACGAGTATACCATTTGACTTGGCGAGAGTATAAAATGTTCGCTTACATCCGAACTTAGCCCTTCCTTACTTGTTAAATTCATCTTTATTTTTAAGTTTAAGTTTATTTTAACATATATTTTATTTTACTTTCGAAAAGTCGCTTGACGCAACACCGGCCACCTTGACAGGATCATGATGATTCAATATTGATAGGTAGCAAGGCGAGCTTGTCGGGCCGTAGGTTCCGCTTCGGATACAGCCATTTGGTGTGCTACTGAAGGTTTGTAACGTACGTTTTGGATCATTGTCGCCAAAACGAATTAGGTTCTTTGGCACTTGTGCTGGTGGTAGTGCTCGGAGGGAGCACCCTTTAAGTAGGTGTGCTGGAGTCCTGGCTCAACGGTGCGAGGGGTCGTGAATTGAGGATGACCTCCACTTCGGCCAGCAGTGTTCCCAGCTCTTGTGAGCAGCACGTTGCCCACTGCGTGCACGACGGGTTGTTTGGCGGACTTCACTGCCGCCTCACATAATTCGCCGAGGTCCCTCGGAGGTATAAAGACGAGTATCAGCGGCGAAGTTGGTTGCGATGTCGCTGTATATCGTCTGGGGCATCCCTCGGTGACAAATGATCTTTTTTAGAGCGAAATAAAGGAATTAGACAATAAGGCAGAAACTAATTCTAAACGTACTGCTTTTGAAGTGAAGAAAACGAAAACTGCGATATCAGTTTTCCCGGATGGTCGACCGCGTATTTGTAATGTGGTATATATGGGACAACAAAAATCTACGCCCCATATAAGAAAGGCTGCCATTAATTCTCGTTCTCGAAGAAGCACCACCAATGCTTCTGCTCCTGCGTGGTGATTTCGAAAGTGCAAGAACCGTAAATAAATGTTCACGAAGTGCGAATTTTTATTCAGTAATAATGGGTATTTGGCATCGTATGGGAGAGGTGCATTTTATAGGCGACCTCCTACTCGGATTAATTTGAATAAAAGCGACATATCCGAGTACACATGCAAAAACGGGTTGAGCTTGGGAGAGCTGGAAGTGAGTGTTGATTGGCCATCACCAGCGGAACAGTTGGCCGCCAAACCATATTGATTTATTCGATTCGTCCAGGTTGCAACTCCAGGACACTTGATTCGCAGAATTTTGTTTTGTTGGCACATTTGCACTATTTGCGACAAAGGTTTGTAATCTGGATGGATGTGTTTTAACCCAATGAAACACGATTTCAGAGTCTGTTCAAAATGTAATTTTCTTGAATCGTCGACTTAACATAGGCGCTACTCGTGACCATAATTTATCAAAAAGATGTGCTGCGGAGAGTTCGAGACGCGGAAGAGAGTTGGTCTTCAGCGGAGCCACTCTAGACTTTGCGATAAGCAGCATACATTTGACACCAGTAGCAGATTGGCTTCGTATGTATATGCAACATCCATACGCTCTTATTAAAGCGTCGGAAAAGCCATGTATTTGGCAGATAGCGCTCGACTCTATATTAAAGTACCGAGGAATGCTAATTAATGAGGGCTGCAGTAGGTTGGCTTTGAAATTTTGCGCAATGAAATCGACTCATCCCAATCCAGTTTTTGGTTCCAAATCCCTTGTAATTGATCCTTGCTCTGGTGACTAGTGGGGCTAATAATCCAAGCGGATCGAAAAGGCGAGCAGAGACTGACAATATGTTTCGTTTAGTGGCTCGCAGACCATAAAAATTGGCATTTAAAACAAATCCTCTTTCGGCAACCAATGGATTCCTAGTGTTTAAGTTGAATTTTTGTCATTGAAGCTTAATAACTTCTCAGTGCAATCACTGCCGAAAATTTGGAATGGTTCGAAAACCACGTCGTTACGGTGAATCCGGCCGAGTTAATGTTTTAATTACCTCACTTCTTTTAAGAGCTAGAGACTCAACATTTTCAGATCTTGTTAATAAGTCATCAACATAAAAGTCTCTTCTAAAGGCCAATGTACCGAATGGATAATTAGTTGTATTAGCATCGTGTTGTGAGAAATGGTGCAGGCGTAGTGATGTAAGTGACGGTGTTAAGTCGAAAAATCTGATTTTGCACAATAAGCTGACAAATGAGCAGCTGACAATTTCTATCTTCTTCATGACAATTATTTGGTGGTACATTTAGTAATGTTAAAGCGTACTTGTGTAAGCGAAAACGACGAAGGGTTGAGTATAACTTATCTTGGATAGTTGGACCTACTATCAAAAGTTCATTTAATGAAATTTTAGAAGAGGTACGACTCGACGCATTAAAGACCACTCGTATTGTTGTGCTCTCGGGCCACAAAACGCACTGATGCGGAATGAAATACTGTGGCTTACTCAGGATCTTATTATTTTTGTTGGGCTCATGTGACCCAGTGCTTCATACTCATTCATGAAGTACATATACATTTTACGAAGTTCTGGATCTTTTAATGTTCTCCCCTCCAGGGTCTGAAACCGTCTAACTGCAGTTTTATAGGAGTGACCGAGTAACTTACAATTTTAAAGGACGTTCTTGAAGCCTTCCTGAAGGTAATACTTGAATTGTACAATTATGAACATAAAAATTTTTAACACTATTTTTGTTCTGGTGTGAATTTGTTGCCATTTGTTTCTGAAGGAAGTTCCTCCAAAACATAAAATTTTTGAACTACTGAATTTATTGAAGTTAGGTTTTCTTCAGCTTGGCAAAATGTGCTATTTACTTCCGGAAAAGAATTTACACAGCTGACATATTTGCCAGACATTTGGCTAGCAGATCGAAAAAAGGTTTCTGCTCCCAATAACATATCAATCTTTTAGGATTTTTGAAATTCTGGATCCGCCAATTTAATATTGTGCGGAATATACCAGCCATTAACATTGATGATATGGTCTGAATGATTTGCCGAAATACATCGCATAATCCATAATTCCGCCGAAAACTCGAAATTATTTACCCGGGACTTAACAAAGGCGCTTCATTTTGCCCCGACTTTCGTATTGGAATTTACAATTCCTATAATATTTAACGTCCTGTTTTGATGTCGAATCCGCAATTTTTGGGCCAAATCCTCCGTCATAAAGTTGACTTGTTATCCTGAATCCAACAAGGCTCTAGCGGGTAGATATTCTCTACAGCTGGTCCTCACAAAAATAACTGCTGTTGCCAACATTACCCGATCTGATAAACTTGTTATATACATGGCATGTGAAGTTGTTGTTGGTTGCGAAAGAGGTACAGCAGCAAAATGTTCTCGATCCGTTCTGCACTTGGAGACCGTATGTCCCTTACGCAAACAATTTATGAATAATCTCTGTTGCACTGCACAGAGAGAGTTTCGAAAGTGGGGCAGGCAGTTAATTAATGGTCCTTTGTTTTACACTGCTGACACGTCGGCTGCTTTATATTTGCAGCAACTAGAGCTGACTTTGTCAACAGAGCGTGTTTTCGATTTATAAAAATTTAAAAAGATCAATACCAGTTCTTATGCTTATAAGGAAAATCCTGCAGTAAAATAAAGAAGCTTGCTACAAGCATCCAGCTCTTTTCTTTGAATGGTAACCATCAAAAAACGGTTTATCGAGTTTGATCTCGTATTGGCAGACCATAATTGAAGGTATCTCTGATATTTGAGGCAATAGACATCTCAAAAAACAGCGTGGGTCATACTCTAAACGAAATATTGGAAATAAGAAAATTGTCGACTGGATCGGTGCCGCGGAGGGAGCAAAACGACAAGCGAAATTGTGTTCACATCAGTGCTGGACGGTGTCTCAGGGCAATCTGTAGGAATTATTGCGTCGTTTCGTAGCCGTGAACGATACATGGATCCACTGGCACCTGACACCAAGTAACAGTATAAATAGTGAACTTCATCTGGCGAGCCTACTCCAAAGATGGCGAAGACTGTACTATCGGTCGGATGAGTCATCCGCTTTTTTGGAACTCCAAACTGTAATCTATATCAACAACTTAGACAAGGGCAAATCAGTCACAGAGCTCTACTATGCCTATATTGGACCCATTTGGTGAAGAAAAAAAAATTCCATGGACAAATTTGTCCAATTAGGCTACGAACTACTCCCCCATCCAACGTATTCTACAGAGTTATCTTCGTGCGAGCGCTTTCTGTTTCTAAATTTCGAAAAGTCACCCGCCACGTAAAAACTTAGGTCGAAAGTGGAGGTAATTTGATTCTTGGAGGCTTATATTCCAGACCTCCAATTAATGTATTAAAGATAATGCGGGTTAAAGATTTTGAAGCTTTGCGCTGTAGGAGCAATACAACAGCTTCTTGAAGAATATCTGGCTCCTACGAGGCTGTGGTTAAGTATTTTGGATTCAGAGTTCTGATAAAGAATCAATCTAATCAAATTTGATATTGTCGACTCGACGAAAACTGTTCGCTTCGATTACTCGATATAAAAATTTTACCTCCTAAACAGGGTTTCCCTCGGACTTTAGTCTATAACAGTAATCAATCTTTAAAGTAGCTCGTTGATAACAACTGCATATACACATAAATTTTTTAAAACTGATAAATTTAAGTATCTGACTGATTACATGTTTCACGGATATGTTGTATTTTGCAGTAGTAAATTTATACGATATGTCAACGATATTGATATATAAGTTTTATTATAAAATCGATAAGAAACTGATTTTGTATGATTTCTTCAAAGTCGAAAGGGTCCATAAAAACTGATAGCGAAGTATACATGGTTAAAGGTTCCAATTAAACCATGAATTCTCGGTCAAAATTTACAATTTGGACTTAAAGATTGATAATTTTCCACATATATAAAATGTACGTGATTACACGTTATGAGAATAATATCCGTTAGACGGTTTTATCAAGCGACGCACCATTGAAATCGTAGCGGTTTTTCCACGGTTATAATTCATTGTCCTAAAGAGTATACCATAGAGTAGTAAATAGTCGGTAATACCACTAATACCACTTCAAAATTCTACTATAAATACGACCCCGAAGAACTAGCAAAAGCTATTCGCTTACGCGATCTTACGAAATGTCATTGAAATTTAGTCTAATCTTGGCACTCTGCCTGGCAGTAGTGGCCATAAGCAACGCTGAACGTGCGCGTTATGATAACTATCGTGTGTACCGTGTGACCGCATCCGATGCCAAGGAGTTGGCTATCCTGAAAACGATGGAAGACACAAGTGACGCGCTGATCTTCATAGAGGGGGTACACTCAGTGAATCGTGATATTGAAGTAGTTGTAGCGCCACATAAAATACCCGACTTCCTGAAAGCTATGGGGGACAATGAGATTGATTATGTGCTATTGGAAAATAACTTGCAAGCGCAATTAGATGATGAAGATAAAGAACAAATTAAGGGACGTGCCGGCGGTTATGATTGGACTGCGTACCAAACACTAGATGATACCTACAATTGGTTGATTTCATTGACTCGATTATATCCAGGCGTTGTAACACTAATTGAAGGTGGCAAGACCTATGAAAAGCGTTCTATTTTGGGTATAAAGATCTCTTACAATAACGGTAATGCGCAGAAGCCAGGTATATTTATTGAGGCTGGTATTCATGCACGTGAATGGATTGCACCAGCAACGACTACATATATCATCAATCAATTGTTGACATCTGAAGATGCAGCTCTACAAGATTTGGCAAAGAATTACGATTGGTACTTCTTTCCACATGCTAATCCTGACGGTTATGTCTACACACATACCACCAATCGTATGTGGCGTAAGACACGTCAACCACATGGTATTTGCTATGGCGCCGATCCCAACCGTAATTGGGATTCCTACTGGGGTACTGTCGGTATCAGCAATAATCCTTGCTCTGAGACGTACGCCGGTCCAAAAGCATTCTCTGAAATTGAAACTAAATCATTGTCCAACTATATTAAATCATTGGAGGGCAAAATTCAATTGTACATCTCATACCATTCCTACTCACAATATGTGTTGTATCCTTATGGTCACACTAATCAACTACCTGACAATGTCGCTGATTTCCAAAGTGTCTTCAATGTTACTGTGGATGCTATAAAGCAGCGTTACGGTACCCGATATACCGGTGGTAATGTTTACGATGCTATTTACCCTGCTTCGGGTTCTAGTACGGATTGGGCTTATGCCAATGTCGGCACTCGCATGTCATTCTGCCTTGAGTTGCGTCCGGGTCCAAATGCATTTGTAACAGGCTTCAGGCTGCCAGCTAATCAAATTCTTCCCACCGCCGAAGAAACTTTGGATGCCCTTGTCGCTATGGTTAACAAGGTTAAGGATTTGGGTTATTTTAAGTGATTTAACGAACACAACTAAGTGCTTAATAAATAAGAAATTACAAAAAAAAGTGTATAATACTTTGATCCTAAGTCCTGACAAAACAATCTGAAGGTTGATTTCAATCGCCATACACATCTTTGCACCCAATCTACCAAATAATCACTTCAGCTATTTGACTATGGGTATTTTAAGGAATAATTTTTCAGAAGTTTCTTGTAGGAATGTTGAGGGACAAAAAAAAGTACAATATTTTGTATATTTTACATCGACTTTGTCATATTTTTCGGTATCGCTACATTTTTGGTGAGCGCCATTCGGCAGGTTCCAAAGTACTTTTAAAGCCGAGAGAGAAAATATTTGTATTTTTGTCTTCCCAATGCTAACATCGTGTTTTCTTAATTTTTTCGAAAATATGGTCATCAACAAATTTTTTGCAAGAAACAAATTTTTTACATTTCCTCACTCAAAGCATTATATTATATATCTAAAACACAATTTTTCGATTAAGTTGCTTCAGTGATTGTATATCGCGTTCAATATGAAAGCGTTCGGATTATATGATGTTAGAAAGATAAGATTTCGTAATAAAAAAACTTTTCAGAGAGTTTTGTGATTGATTCTCTCAGTATTCTTTGATCAAGTGTTAAAGATGGAAAAAACAAGGAAGAGCCAAGTTCGGGTGTGACCGAATATTTTATACTCTTGCAACTTGCACGGATGAAAGACGCAGACTTAGTCCCAGGCGTTGGCAAAACTTTATATTACCAATAAGAGGGGTAAGGGAAGTTTAATTCGGGTCTACCCATATTTGACATAGGGAATAGTATAATCAGGAAGAACTTTTTCGGAATAGGAATTTTTACTCAGGTTATTACTTGTACGGACCGACGGTCAGACAGTCACTCAGATTTCAACTCGTCTCATATCTTTATATATAGGTACCTATATAAAACTCAATATCTATCCCAAATTTTAGGTGACACAAACAACCGTTAGGCGCACAAAACTATTATACTTTGTAGTAACACGTTTCAAGAGTATAAAACGAAGCTCTATCGACACGAGTTAACGCAAACAAACATCATGGTTCGAACTTCCTTGTGCAAATCGCTGTTAGATCGTAACAAAATTAATCCATTTCTAAGAACCAACCCGGCGCAAACTTAGCTATTTGTTTGGTGGGATTGGCAGGAATCATCTTGTAATGAGCTGCTTCACCACGGGCAAACACTTAATTGGATCTGTACTCGCAACAATTGGACCGCGATGGAGCGGCCAGCTTTGGTCAATTAGAAAAGAATTGTTTCTATCACGATAACACCACGCCAAACACATCGATAGTTATTAGCCAGTAACTCCGGATTGGGAAGGTTTCTAAAAGAGTGGCACTATGACATTACCTTCTAAATGGCAATAAGATATCGAATAAAACGGTGTATATTTTAACTAAATTGAATTATTGCAATTATGTTAGTTTACACTTTCTAAATACTATGGAAAATCCATGGTTCCGAATTTCGAGATGTGATTCCTTCATTATTTAAATATAACATTGGAGATAAATCTTCTTTGCATTATCTGAATTATCTGTGACAATTATCTGTATCACGATCTTGAAGGCGATCGATAACAGCAAATATGCACTCGGAATCTCTTACTTGTTTAAGAATTCGCAAAGAATTGAAGGTCGCCTTATAACTCAAAGAATAGTGAGCAGTAAGTGAGTTCAAGGGGTTGGAGTGACAATAAATATTAACTTTCCGAGTTAGTTTACGAAATATATCCTCCTCGACTGTTATTTGAATAAGATTTTGGTAAGTATTCCGAGAATTGTCAACTATTCCCTTTGGAAAACCTTTGGCATTCATAGCTCCGGTATCTTCACTGTTACGAGTGCTAAAAAAAAAAAAATAATATACCAAAATTTTTTTAATTCTCCACACCGGTCAGTCTAAATCAAGTTATATTTGCTATCGCTGTTGTCTTTGATTTGGTACGAAAGAAAATATATTTTTAGCACTGCTTATGCATACGCATACAAGGTAGTGTTACGAGTATATCCTTAATGAGTTCTTATTTATTAGTCAATCCACATCAACTGCGTCATAAAACTCGCTTAGAATTAATTTAGTAGGTTTTTAATGGCAGTTAAATCATATGTTTATAAAAAAACTTGTCAAAAAGTCATCTAGTCCAAGCAAGTTAAAATAAAAATGAAATAACATATTGTGAACCAAAAATAAAAAAGATGTGTTAATAAGGGTAGCAGGGCGGTATTAAGTGAGCGAAAAAAGAGTGTTCACTAAACTAAAAAACACAAGTAAACTAAACATACTCGGCTACTTTTCCTAGTTCGTTGCGCAGGGTTAAAAAACGAATGACTTCAAATATAGTCTATATCATAAACAAAGAAAATATATCGGACGATTGCATGATCCTGCAGTGCTTTTAATATCGTTAAAGACATTTTTCCTTAGTTGAGCATTCTTTTGCTAGTTGCTGGCATGTCATTTAATCTATTAGCTGTTCGCAATTTCTCTGCTCGCTATCTTTACCCTCAGCTTTCTGTAAGTATCATGCAAAACCAACTCAGAAGTTATCGAGGTGAACTAATACAAAACGCATATGTGCCACATTAAAGCGGTATAGTCGCTAGTTTGAAGGCTACCAAGTTTTTTGTAGGCACCACCTTTAGACTAGTATTACCATAGTAATTGTTAAAATGACAAATTACTTTCAAAAACGAAAATATTAACATCATTTAATTAATTTTTCAAACTTAAGACTTTAAATAAATTATAGTTGTCTATAGAAAACGTAAGGGTCAAAACTAAAAGGTTACTAAACTGGTTTCTTTTGTCACAAAAAGATACATTTTTCCCACAAAGAAAGAAGCCCAACACAATTGAAAGTGCGTCAAAGGACGTGTTAACGCCGAGTTGCAACGTAGTCGTTTGTTCGACTCACTACTCTCCAATGCTTTGCAATTCGAAAACAGCTATATTTAGGTAAATCTAATTTAATATTCATCTGAAATGGTTTCGGCCGTGGTTTATCTGACACACCCAATTCGGTCTGTTGGCTAACATATTGTATTTAAACTCCAGATAATATTTCGTATTTTATGAGTAATTTTAACAACTATAGCTTTCTGTTGGTAATGTCGCCGAGTTTTTGGTACGCCTCAAAATAAGTTCATGCTTAAGAGATTTTGGAATTATGGCGAGGTTCCCATTGATATAAATACCTTATGTTATAAGTACGAAAAAAACAACAATTCGTCATTACATAATCTCATTTAAATTAGTACACCCCTAATCCATCCTTCAATACTGTAGCAAAATTTTTATCTTTATGTATATAGGTCATTATTTTAAATTTGATAGAAGCAACTAGTTTGTAATTTAGTTTATTTCTTAAGTGCCGGTTATTTCTATTACTCAACTTTTTGTTTTAGACATTTAATTACTTTATCTTGAAATTAATGATATTCGGTCGTTCGTTTCATTTAGCTAATTTTATGGTTTGCGAAAGTATTAAATTAATTTCAGAGCTGCCAGTTTAAAAATTAATGACCAAAACTAAAATAAAACAAAAACAAACCGTCGTCTCTGTGTTTATCATGGAAATATGTTGTTAGCTGTTCAAAAGTCTCTAGAAACTGAATAGACACTTTTCTCTCCACAGTCGTATCTCCAACCTACATATTTATTTTACGAACTTTTCGACCGGACTTCAATCCAAATCCTTACAAGAACGAACTGACAAGAATTATTTATATTAACAGCCTTTGTGCTCTTCTTAAATTCCTAAACGTTTTGGATAAATGGATAATCTAAACATTTTTAACAGTTTTAGGTAGGCTTGTTTGGATAGTATCAGTGCCGATTTTAAATTCCCCAATTAATTTGAATGTTTGTTGCTTTGTTATGAAACCTAGATATTTGTTTTTGAAGAGAAAGTTTATTTGATAATTGTTGGTGTCTACGAGTCTTAAACTACTGTTTCCCAATTACCTTTAAAGCAATACTTAAAATGTGGTCCCTTTTGTATTATAACCTATATTTAATTTCAGTATCGGTTCTTTCGCGAATTCATCAACAGAATTTTAAGCTTTTGATATGTTTGTATGGCTTGCAATTCGACTTTAGGATCATAAAATTTTTGTGATTGCTTAACTCAGTATTGTTTGAACACGCGTCAAAGATGGACTCCAAATGAGATGTCAAAGGGAAAATACGATATTTTTTAGTTTTTCTTCGATAAAACCCACGCCAGGCGACTGAAATTGTGAATAGTGTTTATGGTATTGATACTGTAACCGCCAATCGCGCAATTCTTGTTTCGTCGATTCCGTTGCAGTAATTTTGATGTCAAAGACCCACCACACTTTGTAAAATCAATTGTTTAATATCGATAAATTATTGAAAATTGTCGAGTTCGACCGTCATTTGCCGAACCCATCGGCGATTGCCCAGAAAGTAAAAAATTGTAAACAACTCGTTTGGAACCACTTAAATAAGACTGGATAAAAAATTAGCTCGATGTGGGAATGCCTCATGAGTTAACATAAAAAAAACCTCATCGAATTTCCAGCTAAAATTGCTCCCCAATCACAACTCACTGGTGATGAAAAGTGGGTCACTACGATAATGCGACCAAGCCAAAATTTACTGTTAGAAAGGTTTTGTTATGTGTTTGTTCAATTGGAACATTTGAAGGAAGCAATCGCCGAGAATAGTCGAGCTTTGGTCAATAGGAGAGGAATAGAGTTCCATCAGGGTAGCTAGGTAGGTAAAGTGGCTGTCTTTCGACCCACTTAGGCCTTTATGAGGCCCATTGTGATACCACCGGAACTGTGGTCCCCTCACTCTATTGGCTCCTCTCTGAACCACCCTGTACTTCTGATGAACTTCATCAGTGAGACAAGTTTTATCCGTTCAACTTCCGAGACGTCGTCAAGAAACCAACGACCGATGGCTGCGATTTTTTTCCTATATAGTGCTGCGCAGTCGCATAGAAGATGTTTAATGGTCTCCTCCTCTTCTACTTCCTGACAGCTTCTACAATTACCGTTATATGGCGCACCAAGTCTACTTGCATGTCTGCCTATTAGACAGTGGCCTGTAAGTACTCCTACTAGAGTTCTTATATCCTTCCGCTTGAATTTTAACAGTCGGAATATGCGGCTCATATTCCATTCATGCCACGTTTGCCAGCTAGTTAAGCAAGTCAGGGATGATTCCACTGACACTCGGCTATGTTAATGACATGTTTGTGGATTCAATATCTACAAGTAGCCAGAGGCATATATGTGGTATCTTGGTTTATTTAATACACGTCTGGGCGACGTGATATCCAAAATCCAACTGACATGCTTAGCTTAGGATTTAATATCTTATATGCGTATTTAGGTAACGGTGATCAGTATCAGGTAATGATGCTCTCAATATGTAATGCATTATTATGATAGCTTAATTGATGTATGTAAGAGAGATAGCATTAGTGTAACTCTTAGGACAACAATGTAAAGTAGAATGTAGGATAACTTAACCCTTAGTTGTACTAATATAAATTAACTTAATTTTAGCCTGTGAATGCATG